GGTAATGCTTTTCAGCAAGTGTTCATTAAAATACTTTTAGTACCCATAACACACAGGTCTCTGCATTGAGACATAGTGTGTATGCTTCTTTAACTTGAGACATATGACAATTTGTTATTCATCAAGTACGATAATCTCTTTAAACTTGTTATAATTAAATCATTTTTTCCATGTGATGATTTAATTTTAATCTTCTGATGTAATTTTGTTTTGTGTAGTATTGAACAAAATGTTCATATTAGTTTTATGGTCTGTAGCAGTGTCCTTTCCTTTTCTCAGGCTTCTAATACCTGTAATTTAAATGTGTGCTTACATTATTTTAAGTATTGGTTCCTTCTACTTGTGTACAAGGTGTCCTCTTTCAGCTGTTATTTTTAAGTCATCCATTAAACCTTTTAGGCCATTGTTCTCTAGAATGTTCTTATTTTAGATTTGTTCTGATTTGTTCATTGACTAGTTTTACGGGTTTAAAATGTACTGCTTCAATATCATTTTATTTCAGGTTACTCTCTTAAATGGTGTTATTCTTTCCGTCTACTTTCGTGAAACTATAAATTGTAATTTTATACTATACGAGTAATATTTTGAAAAAAAAACACCTTGAAAGATAACCAGAGTCCCTCATGCCTCTGTACTTCTCACCCATCATCTTGGTTGTTTGAAAAGTCTGTGACAGTTCAAGAACCTCCTCCTCACCTCCGCTTTTCAAAGCAATCAATAACTGTTTTCATCATTACAGCTTGTGTGTCCCCTGTCTCTGTTACAGAAATTGAAGTTCCTCATTATTATACCATCTTCCCTGCTGCACGTGTCTCTGACTTGGTTTTATAAAAAAAATGTTAAGCTAGTTGTGTTTGTAGCCCATTTTTGGTTAATACATTCATATGGAAACACGTATGTAAATATATATTATTACAAAATAGGGGTGAGAACAGGACATTTAAAAAAATATCTAAATGTACATGAGTGGTAGATAACTAATTGAGGCATGTAACTTCTGACTAATGAGTTCTTTATGTTCTCTAGCACAGTTCTGACGAAAGAGCAATCAGAGTCAAAACGTGATAAATTGACAAATATTAAAATAACGAAATAATATAAAACACAACATTAAACAAAAACGCATAGACACAAAACATCTCAGAGGCCTACATTTTACAGACCCAGATTTCAAACCTTATAAACTGCAATCCAGTGATAGTCTATAACCCTTGATAGTCTATAACAAGAGAAATGCCCTGTATCTTAAAAAAAAAAGAATATGACCCGGCGCTTAATATCCCTTAATATGTATTACATTGCAGTACTTGTAGTCAATATATATACTGCCTTGTGGAAGTATTCAAAGACTGGTAACTTTAGTTTCTACCAAAGATGCTTCCTCCAAATATTCATTCTGTGATCAACATCTGCGAACAACATTTTTTGGTTTTTTATTTTTTTTTTGCTATTCTGCTGGCATTTAACAACTCTCAAATATAAAATTCTTCAGTTTAAGCAAGCAGGTTAATTAATAATAAGCAAGCAAATAAAATATTAATTTTCAAAACATGCAAAGGGTTGGGATAGTGGCACAGTGGTTAACATTGCTGTCACTCAGCAGTGGGGACCTGGGTTCCATTCCAGAAATGGGGGTGCTGTCTGTGTGGAGTTTGCATGTTCTCCCTTGCTCGTTTGGTGCTCCAGTTTCCTCCCGCAGTCCAAAGAGATACTGGTAGGTTAATTGTTTCCATAAAAACTGGTGTGAGTGCCTTTTCTTGTATTAGCACTGTTAATGAAGCCCGAGAGTGAGTAAACAGGGGAGATTGTTTCTGACAAAAGTGAGCCTGTAAACACAGAGACTGTTAGGTTATAAAGCACAAGTCTAATGAAAAAAATCACTTGCTGAGTACACCACTCACCCTGGTTTAAGCCTGAAAACCCCCAAACCTCTCTTTGGTCTTTATTGTGATCAGGGGACTGTAAGAACCCTCATTATGTGAATTCACAGACACCACAATGTCTAACATTTATTCAAATAATTATTTAAAGAACAATCTTAAAAAAACAACAGAGCCGTACCGAAAAGCTAATTGGGGGGATGTTTGTTAGTTCAGGCCAAATAAACGTGTTAAGTTTGACGTGTATTTCCTTTAACCGTTCAATAAAAGCTTAAGAGCAGTCGACCCATTTTATCAATGGGGGCTGTTAAACAGGCCCATTAATTCCAGAGTCTGGCAAAACAACTAACCCCAATTAGCCCCCCTGCGACGATACCTGTGCCCGTGTCAGACTGGAAGGGCCGGGCCGCTCAGTACTCCTGTTCTCCGCAGAGGAACGTGAGAATGTTCAATGGGATTGGTAATTACCTGTCGGAATGCCACCCCGGCAGGCAGTAATTGCATTCAGGAAGGTTTCTGAATCCACTTCCCACAGCTTTCAGGGAAATAAGGAATGCAGCGGCGTTCCCAGCCCTGACCTGGCCGGGCTGGCACAGCACGAGCTGGGGGGCGGGGGAGTCGGGCAGACCTGATTGCTGAGGGTTCAACAGACCGTGCTCTGCCAGTCTGTGGTGAGGCACTTAAAGCCCTTTCCGGAATAACCTTTTCTAGCTTTTGTCTTTTTGTTTCCGTGGTAAACCTGCCTTACAAGCCTGTGTATTTGTAGGGGTAAAAGATAAAGAAAAGAAAAAGATAAAGGCCCTGTTGTAATGTCGACTCATCCTGAGTTCAACTGCCGAGGGATACCAGGGACAAGGCTGTGCTGGGCCACCTTCTGTACGTTCCTTTCAATACGAGAGTCTCCCCCACAGTCATGTAGTGTTTTCAGCTCCTCTGCTTTCTTTCTCATTTTCACGGCAACTCGGACACTGAGGCAAAGCGTGCTGCCAACTTTCCAGCACCTTTCCAGGAGCCCTCGTCGTAAGAGCCGCTCCTCATCTTTGTGCTCCTGACACTGGGTCTGCCCTGCCATACCCCAGAATTAAAGTAAAGCAACACCCCACGCGCTCATTTTTGGCGCATCGCGGGGAAACGCCGCAGGGATTGAGCCAAAACAGAAAGCCGGGAGGCCCCGAGCCGGTGCTTGGATGGCCCTAGTTCTTCGACATTTTTTTAACCTCGTGGCTGGTATTTTGGATCCCACGTGAACTTTCGGAAGAGTGCTACTTTTCTCCCAACTTGTTTTTTTTTGGGGGGGATCGATCAGGCTGCATACGTTTGATTGCACTATTCAAAAGCGCGTCAAATTGAAAGTGTTTAAAAACCCATCGTCTCGCTCCAAGTGTGCCGGAAGAGCCACTCGGTCGCGCTGGCGTGGCCAGTTGTAAGCAGGGCCGAGCGGAGGGTCAGGCAGCGCTCGCTCAGCCCGCTTCTCCAGGCTAATGAGTTTTGAACGGAGGCCCTAGCCCACAGGAGCTCGTCCGCCCACAGCCTCGGCTCCTTCCAGCAACCTCTCTCGTCTTTGTGCTCGATAATTACAGCGTTGCCTATCTGAGGGCTCTAATGCCTTTGTGTGTGTAGAGTGGTGTCATTATGATGGATGCACCCTCTCTCTCTCTCTTCCTCTCTGTCTGCTCATTAGGAACCATGAAACCATCATCAAAAAGATTGTGGGGAATGCCCTGCGCTCAGCTGAAGGCTGCCAGCGCTGTTGCCCTCTGCTCCGGGATTGCCGCCCTGTTTTTAAAGCACCACTGTGCACATAATGTCTGCCTTCGCCGGGTTTTATAGAGCTCAATTACGAGCCCACGGTGACCCCCGCCGGGCGGTGCTGCAGAATGAAACGAGTGGCTCCTTGCCGGAATTTGGCAGATTGCTTAAACGCCGCTCTGCAGGTTTCAAAGGGTGGGCTTCGCGGCGCGGCCTCTCCGTGTGGGAACATTCCCGGCACGCAGCCTCGAGCCGCGGAGGCAGGCTTCTCCGCGGCGGAGGGGCTCTATATGAGCTGAACGGGAGAGCCCTCCGATAGACACGAGGCCGCCGGTGAGGTCGAAAATGTGCGATTGGTGCAGTGAGTCCGGACGCCCGTCTGTTTCCGTGTGATACGGTGACACAGAAGTACGCTTATGAGCTTCCAAGCTCAGCTCGCCCCCCACAGTCCGTAAGGCCAGGGAAACACGCCACTACGTTCCCAATTCCCAAATTCTGTACAGTTTCCCAGCAGAATGTGCCCCTCGAATCTGTTTCCAGCCCACAATGTCCCTGATGATGTGCGCCCCAAGTCTTTCTGGTTGGCTCTGTACTGCGGAGGGCCAGGACAGTTCTCATCACCATGTCAGTTGGCGAGGAAGCTGTATGCCTTTCTCAGCCGTCTGTGTGGCAGAACAGGGCCTACCCCTATGGCGCAGATTGGCTTGCATCTGGCTTGCTGTGGTGCAGTGGAATTCTGTATGGCTCCACCAGTCTCTCCGGCAGAAGAAACATCTAAAGTGGTGAAGGCTCCCTCTGAGCTGAGGGTCTGCTAGCTGAGCGATGAGAGTTTTGTTCTGAGGGGGCTGCGGACAGGGATGACAACAGCTGAGCGCCGATGAAATCTCTTGTGTGTGCTGGCCTGGCCGTGTGTGTGTGAGAGAGAGATGACGCAGCCAAATCTCTAATTGATTTCTCCTCTGGCCATGGGGAACCACTGGGCTGGGAGCCCCCAGAACCCCAGCCTGCTGCAGTATTGATGAGGGATGAATAAAGCATGAGCAAAGGGAGGCCTGCTGCCCAGTGAGAGATTCCCGCGCCTCGCGGATCTCACAGGCACATTCTGCTGTTCGGGAATTTCCCACATGTCCTTCCCGTCGCGTGTTCTGTGCCCGGGCTTCGGCTGCCATCCCTGTGAAGACGACAGTTACCCACTGTTCCACTAAACTCCTGTGTAATACTGTGCAAAAGAAGAGTGAGGGGCTTGAGGGGGGGTGGGTGTTACGCCATGCTCCAAGCTTCCTTAAGCCAAGCTGTGCGTGTCTTGAGGTTCCCTTTGTGTGTGCACTTGCGTGTCTCGCGTGTAACGGTGTGTTTTTGTATGTGTTGCAGGCAGCCCTGCTGCCCCTGTCTCCTGGGGACACCCCCCTCCTCAGTGCCCCCCCACTGGGCTCACAGGTCCACGCCGCCGCTGTCAATGGAGACCGAAGCGCCCTCCACAGGCTCATCACAGGTCAGTCCCCCTGCCCCCGCTGAACTCTGACCCCCCTGCCGCTCGCCCACCCAGCACACACACACACACTCTCGCCACCCTCTCTCCTCTCTCCCCAACTCATCCGCTGACCCCCTGAAGCTTCACCTTCCCTGCTGTGCCTTCTTCACAGCCCCGTAGCCCAGTCTGATAAGCCCTCCTCAGGGACTCTGTCACCATCGCCGCTTTTCGCCCTCATCTCCTGTGGCTCATCCACAGTCCCAGCGCCGTTTGCCTGCAGGGCTGACATGGCAACACAGAACACAGAGACTGTCAGCAGGAGGAGCAACAGTTACTGTAGGACTCACCCAGTCTTGACCATAGTGCTCAAACGCTTATTATGTGCACAGCCAAAAATAAAGGGGTTTAATCCCGACCTGATAAATTATTGTTATCCAGCTCTGACATTTCCAAGAACCCTCCCACTGCTGATGAGCCTGATCTGGCCCAGGGCTCGTGTGAGGGGAATGGTGTTGATGGCAGAACACAGCAGCTGCTCTGTAGACGTGTGCATAGGCGTGTATGTGTATGGTCCACCAGTTCACACCCGTGTTTCCTGATGATGAGTTCCCTCTCTCCCTGAGAAATGCCAGCAGCCGCATCACCCTGCAACTCACAACTGGCAGCCCACTGAAGCTCAGCAGGTGTGAGCCTGGTCAGTACCTGGATGGGAGACCTCCTGGGAAAAACTTAGGTTGCTGCTGGAAGAGGTATTAGTGGGGCCAGCAGGGGGCGCTCACCCTGAGGTCTATGAGGGTCCTAAGGCCCCAGTATACTGACGGGGACACTAAACTGTAAAAAGGCGCCGTCCTTCAGATGAGACATAAAACCGAGGTCCAGACTCTCTGTGGTCATTAAAAATCCCAGGGCGTTTCCCAAAAAGAGTAGGGGTGTAACCCCAGTGTCCTGGCCAAATTTCCTATTGGCCTTTATCGATCATTGCCTCCTAACAATCCCCATCTATGAAGTGGCTTCATGACTCCGTTCTCCTCCCCACTGATAGCTGATGTGTGGTGAGTGTACTGGTGCATCTTCCAGGTGGGGCTGCACACTGGTGGTGGAGGGGATCCCCATTCCCTGTAAAGCACTTTGAGTGGAGTGTCCAGAAAAATGCTATATAAGTGTAATTATTATTATTATTATTATTATTATTATTATTATTATTATTATTAAATCCCTGTGGTTCTGGGATTTAGGATGTACTGAGACTTTGGAGAAAGGAGGCTTTTTTTTTGTTACATCCATGGTTGACGCAGCGTGCAGCTGCAGTTGGGATCAGTCGCTCGAATAAGAGACGGCCACATACAGCACACAGGGAAAACACCACTCTACACTAAAGGGGGGGATTGACCCTTTTTGACTCATTAGGAGGCAAGGCAGAGTTCTCACACAGAAAATCCTCCAGCCGTTTTCAAAAGCTCGTACTGATCGTGTAAGTGGTAGAGGCCTGACTTCCTCAACTCGAGCGCAGGTTGTACGGACTGCGCATGGAAACGAAAGGCTTGACGGTTTCCTTTTCCTTTTTTGAGAGAGAGAGGGAGCTGCAGCCCTTCTGACGTTTTCTAACCGTGTCTGTGGCCCCGCAGCGGATCCGTCTCTGCGGGACAGGGAGGACCAGTTTGGGCGCACCCCCCTGATGTACTGCGTGCTGGCCGACCGGCTGGACTGCGCCGAGACGCTGCTGAAAGCCGGGGCCCACGTCAACAAGGCCGACCGCAGCCAGAGAACAGCCCTCCACCTGGCGGCGCAGAAGGTCAGTCTCGCCGCCCGTTCGGAGCCAGGCCCTGTTTTAACCAGCTGTTTAATAATGGTGTGCGCTGCGCTGTTGCTCTGGATAATACTTCAAATAAAGCAGCTCAAAACCTTGAACTAGCAGGTGGAAAGTAATACACTGCACTCAGACACAGCTCTCTGCCCGCAGCACTGGCTCAATTGATTTTCTGGGCCCAGTAGTGTAGCATTTATTGTAACACATTTCCACAACAAATCACATTTATGCTCTTACTGAATATAACTGATTTATAAGGCAGGGGCTAACCCTGAGCTTCCTGCTAAAGCATGCTCTTTACAGAGAGAGTGCCCGTTTAACTCCAGTTTTTTAATTTTCTCTTGGAGTGGCCAGTTCAACACCAGTAGGCTCGCTGCACAAGCTCTCTTTCCTAAGCAGGAGAGATAACATCACGCCGTCCACCTCCCACTCATTCCTGTGAGCCAACTGGAGCTTTAAGGCCAGTGCTCAGCTGGTGGAGCCAAGGAGGAGGGCTCAGTTAAGTGCTGCACATGGGCGTCTTTACTGGGGAGACTCTTAGGGGCCCCAACACCATGTTCTTATCCACACGACAGGCACTGCACCTGTTCGACCCGAAATGTCTTCCGAAAACAAACAAACGTCTTCCGTGTTTCTCGAAAAGAGTAGGGGTGTTACCCAGGCATCCTGGCCAAATTTCCCACTGGTTTTTACCCATCACGGCCTCCTAATAATCCCCATCTATGGACTGGCTTCATCACTCTGTTCTCCTCCCCACTGATAGCTGGTGTGTGGTAAGTATACTGGTACACTACGGCTGCCATCGTATCATCCAGGTGGGACTGCACATTGGTGGTGGTGGAGGGGAGTCCCCTTTACCTGTAAAGCGCTTTGAGTGGAGTGTCCAGAAAAGCGCTATATAAGTGTAGGGAATTTTTATTTTTAAAATAGGACTTGCTGTTGTTGCACCCTACTAAATTGTCCTAGTTCTTTTACTGCCCAAATGTACTGTGTGTTTTGTTTGTATGTGTGGCCAGACTGAAGGATACGACAGAGTACAACACCTCCTCTGCCTGTCTGCGCTGAGCTGACCAGGCTGACAGTTAACAAGCACGAAATGTAGCCACTGTTCCGCAGACACAGCACATAGCACCAACTAGTGGCTGTGCTTGAGAAAGCACTGAACGGAACCACAGGTGCACTTCAAAGCAGGCTTCTCACACTTCAGTAATTCAGTCAGCAAATTTGCTTTTGATTCACAAATTTCACTTGAATGGTGAGCTCCCACCTGAACACATTTTACAAATCTGCATTATGGTTAGGTGTAGAAATGGGCATGGAAGAGTGAAATAAAAAGCAGGTAACCAACATTTTGGCTTATGTTATCTCCGATGACTCGTCTTAAAAGTTTTTCTAAAGCTGCGTTATTGATCTTTCACCTCTGAGAGAGCTGGTGAATCAGGAGCTGTAACTGAGTGGTGCTGAGAGGACCACGTTCTGATTTGTCTGTGCCGAGTGGTGTTAATGATGTGGAATGGCTGGCCTTCAAAACCAACGAGCTTTCTGAAATTTAAACTAGGGTGAAAATTCAGTTAAGGCAAAAATGTGTGCCGTGTGTTTAGAAAAACAACATGTTTCAGGTTTAAAAACTTCTGGAGACAAGCAACTCTGTGGGGTGAGGGTGGGGTTTTTTATTTAAAAAAAAAAAAGAACAAAAGCGAGCAGCCTGAAGTGGAGTCTGCTGTCCTCTCGACTTTATAGGCTTAGCCTGTGCTGCGAGTTCAATAAAAGCTGCATTTTTCAATAATGGTCGCAATGTGTGTCTCATCAGCACAGTGGGCCTGAAGAGGCAACAAAGTGGTTCCACATGGCTCCGGAGGCCCCCTGTTGACAGTGGGGCTGTGTGACAGGAGCAGGGCCGGGGGTAATGGCCTTGCTTTGCCATCTCCTCCGAAAATACAGCCAGGGCCTGCCAGGGCACGAGTTCACCTCCTCCCTGACAGAGCTGAGGGTTGGTTTTTTTTTAATGCAAAACCAGACTGTGAATCAGTGTGTCCACCCAGAGAAAATGCGTAAAAAAAAAAAAAATTCTTCCTCCGTCCCGTGTGCACATAACCGGCGTGCTTCACACATCCAGGCAAGAGAGGCTGAGTGGATTTTCTGGGAACGCGTTGAGCCGCGTGGGTCCGCGGGAGACGGCTGGCCCGCTGCAGTCCCGCCACGTGCGGAGGATAAGTTCACCGAGGAACGGGGAGATCCAGTGTGTGTTTGTGGGGGGGGAAGGGGGCAGGCTGTGATGTCGATGCTGATGCAGGAGGATCTCTCCGGAACAGATTAGACGCTGTCAAGGGATTAGATCTCATGGAAAGTATAATCAGTGGGCCTGAGCACGCCTCCTCTCGTGAGGAATTCCTCCTGGTCTCATATGCCCAAGGATATCGGAGAGTCACCTTCTCTAAACTCCTTCAAATCCAGACTCAAAACCCTCTTCTTTAGAAAAGCTGTTACTTAACTGGTTCCATTCTTCACCCCTCTGCTCATCTTAGTACCACCATCCACGGTCTCATCTATATATTGTAATTGTGTCTTATCTTGTGTATTCTTATTATTGTTGTATTCTTCTTATTTATTGTTATTGTCATCCTGTAAAGCACTTTGAGAAGCCACCTTTAAAGACGCTATATAACATAAAGTTTATTAGTATAATATTATTATCATTCGCCCCCTTCTGCTAATGGTGATGCAAAGCCTTGCGTGGCGCTGTGAGTTTTTCCACTCGAGAAAGATGTTTGTTTGTTTGTTTGTTTGTTTGTTTGTTTTTTAAAATAAAAACCCAACAAATCTTTTCCCTGGCATACCTTAGTTTGGTTTCACAAAGCCTGTCCGTGGTAGCATGGGGCAGGATGTTCTCTCCTGGGTCACAACGTGGAAGTAAATCCAATGAGTAAAGATGACATATTAGTTTTTCCTCCTTTTAATACCATTCTTCCAATATTGTTTTGCAAATAGTGTTAAAAAATAGCTCGTCAGCAGCTTGCTAAGCCTCTGCCGAGCTGTGCAACTGGCATTATGGGACAAGAATAACCACAGTCTGGAGCACAAATTCCTTTCTCGGTTGTATTCTTCTACTCTTCCAATTTAATTTTTTTTATTTTCTGTCCTGATTTTTTTGTGCCTCAATGTGTCCTCTGATGTTTTCAGCAGCAGCAGTATTATCCGCAGGACCGAACTGTTTTTTCGTGCGGATTTTGGAGCTGTATCATGTGAAATAAAAAAAAGTTAGTTGTGGCCGACTTCAGGTCTTTAGCATTGTGCTGTAAAAGAGTGACAAGTGACATGACAAGTATCATTAGAGATGCAACTCATTTTCACCACCAGCTGACTAACTGGTACCCGCTAAAAATTGGACATAAGTGTGAGTTTCAGAGGGCTGCTAGATTTGCATAATTATTTTGCTAATTGTAAGCAGAAACGTGTTTTCTGTAATGCATGATTTATTCTGAACGCCCTGTAGTGAGGTGTAGCCACCAGCACAGGGCAGGTGCAGATAAAGTTTCCCCTGCCAGGGCAGGAACAGAGAGGACCTGATGTCAGTGTTGTTTTTAGCTCGGTTAAATGGGGACAGTGTTTTGTCTGCTCTGAGCGGTAAGCTGATCTAATTTGAGTGTGCAAGAACTGTGTTTGCAAATCAAGTGATTCACCTCAAAGATTAGCTGCGTGGATAAAGCTGTCCTGCAGGGGAACACTGAGAACCAAGCTAATTTTAAACTCTCACTTAGTGCCGGCTATATCCTCTGTCAAGTCTGGTTCTGCTTTAGATAAAGCTACCATACAGACTGTAGGGTGAAATTAACGACACACGGAAAGCTGTTTTTTTTAAGAAAATATTTATTTTGTGTTTCCTGTGCCGTACAGTGACACTAGGTTATCTTTGCAATGTACTGTTTTGAAAAACACTGCCCTCAGATGAAATGTAGGGCTGAAATGGTCAATTGCGTGTCAAAACTAAAAACTAAACTGATATATATTGCAAGTGGTGGTGTGCAGAAATATTTGCAAATATAGAGCATCAATTTGTAAGCCTTTGTGAATTTGGTGAATATGATTTTTTTTTAATTTTGGTAGTTTTGATACTATAACAGTTTACACAGTCTACTGTAATATAAAAACATTTATAAGAAGTCCTTGTCCTCTCTGAAATAAAACCACTCAATGAAGTTATGTAAATGTATTCCCCTTTGTACCTATTTATTTATCCAACTATTTATGCATTACATACTGTTGTTGTGATTTCATGTGATTTTATAGGGCTCTTATGATTTGCTTGTGTGTTTTGTTGGAGACACATTTCCACAGCAGTAAAAGGAAAGTGTCTGTCTGTGTGCCTGCCTGCCACATGAACACGGGGAGCACATACAAACTCCACGCAGATAGCACCCCAGGTCAGGAACTGAACCCCGCCTTAGATTATATGCAGAGGTTACCCGTTAAAGTTTGAGTTGTTTTTATAATTCATTGTCAGCACATAGGGTTTTTCAGAGTCAAGATATACCCTTCCCAATAAGGCAGTTATCCTACTAGTGTGCCTTGGAATGTGGGAGGAAACCGGGGAACCTGGCGAAAACCCCCAAGGACACAGGGAGAACATGCAAACTCCACACACACAGCGCCCCAGGAGTTGAACCCAGGGCCCCGGCGCTTATGGAACTGATTTCCCAGTCATTTCCTGTCCCGTGTACCCAGTAAATAGCACACACATGTCCGATTCAGCAGCGGGGAGGTGCAGCGCGTCCGCAGGTGCCTCTCGGGCTCTCGCGCTCCTAGTCGTCTGTGCTCTGCTGGCTGTGTGCGCTCACAGGGCTGTCGGCCAGCCTTCGACGCTCTCGCCTCTCCGGCGTGAGTGAGTATGTGAGGAGGGGAGGAGGAGGAGGGGGGGGGGGCAATGGCAGAGTCATGGGGAGGCAGTGCCCCCAAGTGGAGCAAGGCTGTCAGTGCAGGTGTGGGCA